TTTGGCCAAATGCCGGACACCTGCACATCAGGCTTATTTTCAAATTGCGATTACAATCTTGACACCCCTTCTTGTTCGATCGACAAAAGCACGCAGGATCAGATGACCAATTCCATCGGTAAGTGTCTTTTCTACAGGCATTTTGGAGGATGACTTCTTTTTGTTAGCAAGCGTCAGACCTGGAGCAATGCCAGCGAGGAAGTTAGGGAACATTTGCTAATTTGATTGCACCTGACCGTACAGTTCTGTATTACAAAAAGCGAAGGTTATGACTACCTCATATTTCTAAATAGGCTGCGTTTTAAATGGGACAGGGCGTTTTGCTTAGTCATTTCACACAGCGGAACATCACCTGCCACCGCTAGGCTCGACATCATGCTAAACGTGCCGAAAGAAAAACAGATGTTTACGTCAAGAAGAAAGTATGCTTTTATTACAGATCTCTTTATTATTGGAAGCCGCCTAGCAAACCCGCCAACAATATGCGGTGACGTGCTTACCCTTACAAGGGAAAGCTTAACAGTAGTTCTCTTAAAGATAGTTTTGGAACTGTTTGTTTGTTTGTTTTTGTAGTCAGACTCATCGAAATATTTCAATGATCACGTCTGGTTTCTCTTACGGCAGTGAAACTCGGAAGTAGTGTGCTACGTTGCATTGGGACATTTTATAAACTCAAACTATTCTATAAAATGGATACATCACACATCAAATTATTCACCTTCAGTTCACATTCATTTATCTATTAAACACTAATAATCGCTACTAATTAAACTAAAAAAAATAACCCTCATTATTGTTGAGTGTCTCCAGTAAAAAGAAGAGGCGGCGTTGACTGGCAAGGGTTTATTTGATGCCGGAAGTTGCAAGTAGCGATTTCGACTGACCGTATTAAGACTGAAGCTTTCTGTGCTCAGCTCTCGTTATATGGCCCATTTTGTCTGATGCGCAGGTCGCCATTGTTGACTGTGAGGCTGCTCGACCGCCACTTTAAAGTGCCTATGTCACCTCCCTCATTGACCGTGCCTATAATCGGTGGCTCGCGGTGTTACAGTTGTTATTACAAGTCTTTTAACTACTATACAACAGATGTGGACAAAAAGCGGCAAATTACTTACAGCTAGATTGTGAGGGGGACAAAGTAGCTGACAGAATAGTGAAGACATCGAGATAGCACGATTTACAATACTTGACAGCACAGGCGCTAGCTAAAAGCTAAGACGTGTTTCGCCCATATTCTGCCGCTGCATAAAACAGTTGCGAGGGGCTGCGCTCATCAGTGGGTCTCCCGGCGTTCCCTTTGTGTTTTCTGGTAGATACTTCAGTTTGGAACTTGCAGTTTTCAATTTATTTGGAAATTAACTACTAATTTAGAGTAAATTAGCCTAATCGAGGCTTAAGGGATTCAAGTTGGCGGTCACTTTCTAAGGAAATTAAAAAGCAGAAAGTAAGGGTATTTCAAGAAAAGCTAGTACTAAATGGTTTCTGTCTATATGATCAGCTACCAAATGAGTACAAGGAAGGATATTTTTGTGTATGTTTGCTATGAAATGCATTTGAAATTATGGAGGCCTCAAAAATCAATGAAGAAAAGTCATACCACTTGACTACTTTTTACCAGTTTTTTGCAAACGGCCAAAAACGCATTTGAAGACGAGCATCCTGTCGTGGCTGAAATATATTGAGATTTCTCCTAAGATCATTAATACTGCGACCTAATTTAATCAGCCCTTTATAATCAAGAACACATTTTAAAATTTCAGCTAGTATTCCATGAGATAGGCTATTCATTATATAATGGATCTCCATACAACCCGTCTGAAGTAATTGATTTCGCTTTGAGCCCCTACACATAACCTAACTTAAAGTGCCTGTTAATAATTTAATCTGGTACACTAGATTTTAACTTCAGATCTTACCTCCTTTTTAGGAGTCTCTGGATCATCATATAAGCAAATGACAATGAACAGTTTTTTCGATGCTCCGAGCCAGAAATCCTATGGGGTGCTTCTCTCGCATGCAGATGAGATGAATATACATACACACAACCCTTATGCATCTTCCATTGATCAATTCTCCCAGATTGGTCCTTCGTACATTTCGGACCTGCCGGAGACACGTAGTTCCATATCCTCTTGCCTTCTAAATGGGTTCAGTAGGAACCAAACGCCCTTGGACTGGAACGGTGGCAGGACCAACTACGAGATGCAGGACGTAGTCGTCTATTCTTGGTGTAATAATGCCAACGAGCGGCATGCGCTTCCAAACACAATTTCAAATAGCTGGGCAGTATAAGGCAGTGCTGCCATCACAGATCATTTGATCGCATTAACCGAAAGCATAATAAAATTGTGTACATTTTTTCATTTTGTTACTTTTTAAACACTGCACTCTGGATTGTGAAGAGGCGGACACGACATCCTAAGTTGCGCAGATTCCCATGCAAATCTCATGCCAAAAATACAGCCATCCAAAACTAAGAGTAACAATTGCACTTCGTATCTCTAACAAATTCCTTGGTGATAGTGTGATTCGTGTCAATTACTGACTGTTCATCCCACACAAATGATGGTGATGAGAGCCTCAATCCGATGTGACCTATAATAAGCCTTGTAACCACAAAAAATCGATACATACAACTCCCGTCTGACAAAATTATTCTTGATTGCGACTGACAATGCGTGAGTCATTGACCAACTAGTATTTCCTTTGTTCAACAACAGACCAAAGCTTGATCTAAAACTCAACT